AGCAGGAACCTCCCTATGGAAGCTGCCTGGGTGATTTTGGACCAGCCCCAGACTTTCTGCCTAACCTACCTTGTAAGGTTGCTGTACAGATCACAAAGCAAAAGAGGAGAATGAAGTAAGCTGCTTTGCTCCCCACTAACAAGAAAGACAGAACTTTGCCTAGGAAGAGGCTACTGAGACGGGAGGAGATAAAGTTGCCATCTTTAGGTATCGAAATTCCTAGAGATTTGAGTGGTGGAGCCTGGAGAGTGTGTAATTATACCCTGTGTCATTATACCCTGCTGAGGTCACCACAGCAAATTGACGCTGAGTGCCCTGGCCTCTTTCTAAAGCTCGTTGTATTTATTTCCAGAACGAACCTTATTCCTAGTGTTAATATAAATGCCTATTGGACTGGATCCAGTATTTCTGTTTCACTAATGGGGAGCCATTTTCTGGCATGAGGAGCCTTTCGCCAGCAGAAAATACCTCTTGCTCCAAAGCAAAGCTCCTTGCACTGGTTGAAGACTCCACCATTAGCAGGTCATAAATGCTGGATCCAGTCCATTAAATCTATGTTATGTTTGTAGTGGTTCATGAATCTGTATGATTGGTATAAACCCTGGGGTGCATGTTGTACATCTATTATCTTTCTTGGCAATTCCACTGATTCCTAAAAAACTTCTACAATCTGTAATTGAGCTGTGTCCCCAATCATAAATATGACATGTTATATAGTAAAGATCAAACAGTCCCTTAACAATTTATATGATGGTACAAAATGATTGCTCAGTGTTTTATGTTCCAATCTGAGTGAAGTTTGAAAACTTTCAGTAGACTACAGTGAGTAGGAGTAATTGCCTGACGTGTCATGTGATGGAGACTTGTTTCTGATTCTCTCTTACCAGGAGTGTATTTCTTCTTTCCGTGGCTCTATTCAGATAACATGATAAACCACTCTAATTCGCTGTTACATCCCAATTCAGGCTGCCCAGCAAACTGTTGTTTGATGGTAGGCATTAAATGGGGATTCTAAACCTTGTTTATACCTGTTTTGTTGACTGTAGTATGTTGTGATATTTGAATCCCAATTAGATCAGTATATTTCTCATACTTTTTCTTAAAGAAGTGGTTAAATAGAGCAAAAGTGAAACCTAGCCACTTCTGTTGCATTCAGCTATCAGTGGGACAACATCTTCTCTATCTGCTAGTGACTATGCAGCTCCAGCCTGTCCTGAGGGGCAATTTAAAAGGCATTTTACCAACTTACAGAAAATAAAATTGCTCCCCATGAAACATTATTTCACATCCCACATACTGCCATACCTCTCCCCCAAAGGGAGTGCCCCCACCAATGCTCCCTTTAAGCTGTGAAGTCTTGTGAGCAAAAATTCTACTTTGTGAGTTACTGGCATTAAAGTTGTGAGCGAGCGATTTGGCTGCTGCATAAATTAGTTTGCTCTGGAGCTATCGTTCCTGAGCGAAGACAAAAATCTGTGAACCAGAGGCTAAAAAACTGTGAGTTAACTCACACTAACTCAGCTTAGAGGGAACACTGTCCCCCACTAAACTATTTCCAATGATCCAGCAGCTGGTTAGTGTCCTCTTTTTAAGCTTTTATCTTCTCTCTGAGGAAAAAAACAACAACCAAGAAAAGGTTCTGTGGTAAAATAGCAGATGAGGGTGCTGTAAGATCTATTTTGAGTTTCAGGGGGTTGCAAGTTCTATTTTGAGTTTCAGAGTGCTTAGGGAATATTTTGAAATGATTTGATATGCAGAATAACTGATGGATGATTTGTAACAGAGTAGGAAGCTTAGTCTGGCCTCATCTTTCCCACCCTTTCCCTGTCTATTCATTGCAGCTGACTAATAGTGAGCAGGCAGCATATGTAGTGAACCAACAACTGGGCAGTGCTGGGGTGCGTGGAGTAAAACTGTGGGGTTCCACTTGGAGATGGGAAAGGAAGCAAACAGCAGACTAATGGGGAACTATATATGTTTGGTAGTCTTTGTGCAACAAACTGTGGCTCAAACAAAGCAGTTTATTTTGACATATGAGTGCAGGATGTTTGTAAAATCAGAGTTATGTGAGTTAAATTCCTCAAGCTCTGTCTTTCAAACTATTCTGTAGTCTTATTTTCCAACGCTTTTAGTTTTTAATTTATTTATCAATCACATTTATATCCTGCCCTCCCAGCCGAGGCCGGCACAGGGCGGCTTATCTCTCCTTATATATAATTGAATAGTGGGTGCCAAAGTTCTAATTCTAAAATGCACTCCCTTAGTGTATGGCTGATGGCACTGCTCCTCAGCATATATCGCCACCAATCAGAAGGCAAAGCCCGGGTCCCGCCCACACCACAACTGCTGCGACAACCTGGTCTTTTGCATATGGAAGCTGATTGGACTTCAGTCCATTCCACACCTCAAACTCCCCCCCCCCCGCAAGGCAGTTGGAATTTTCAGTTGCATAACATACCTCATAGGGGAGAGGAGAATGGGTAACAATGGTTACCACTCTCCAGGTGAGGGCTACAGATAACTCAAACATACAAATGCTCTTCAGGTAGCAGAGATCAGTCCCTCTGGAGAAAACAGTGGACTCTGTCATTAAACCCTGCTGAGGTCGCCACAGGAAACTGACACTGTTTGCCCAAAGCCAGAGCACTCTCCCAGAGCCTCTTTCTAGATCCCGTTGTATTTATTTCCGCAACGGGCATTATTTCTAGTATAAAAAGATAAAACACATCAGTAACAATTTAAACAATCCTAAAATCATCTAAAACAAACCAACATTATTTGTTGCTATACACATTGGGTGATACTGGTGGTAGTCATTTATTTTTAACTTGGTTGGTAAAAATTTCTCTCTTTTGAATATTCCAATTAATTCTCTAAAACACAAAAACATGAGAGCTAGTTTGGTGTAGTGGTCAAGTGTGCGAACTCTAATCTGGGAGAACTGGGTTTGATTCTCCATTCCTCCACTTGCACCTGCTGGATGACCTTGGACAAGCCATAGTTCTGGCACAGCTGTTCTTGAAATAGAGCAGTTTCTGTCAGAGCTCTCTCAGCCCCACCTACCTCACAGGGTGTCTGTTGTGGGGAGGGGAAGGGAAAGGAGTTTGTAAGCCGCTCTGAGACTCCCTTGGGTAGTGAAGGGCGGGGTATAAATCCAATCTTCTTCAAAAACCAGGATGTTTTCTCTATACAAGCGAAAAAGAAAAGGAGGGGGGGGATGAATTGAGCGGACAGTGATGTTTTCCTTTGATGTATTTGAAAGCGAGAAACTTGTCTCTCTGGAGCACATTTTAAGAACTTTTTAAAAGTAAACAAAAAAGAAAAGATGTCGGAGCTGGGCAAAAGCGAGCGGAGAAGGAGGGAGGGACTTCCGTCTGGGCGTTTGTTTGTGTGCAAGAGCCGGCTGTTGAATGTTTGGACTGTTTATGGCTGTGAATCCGACGGGAGTTTTGCAAAAAAGATAAGTTGGAATTGTGACAGCGAAAAGTGCCTGATAAGCGCTTATAAGTCAACAATTGCGAGGAGGACCCATAGAGAGTCTGGGAGCGAATATAAAAGCGAAAATGAAATTATACCATTCTCGAAAATGGGGACCTCCGGGGCATGAAAGGAAGAGGATTTATAGTACATGAACTGAGCGTATTAACAACAACCCGAAGGAGGATCTAACAAGCCGGAAGGAGAAGACACAGAGGAAGCTCCTCCACGTCAGCGATAGTAAAAGTACCCAGCACGCAAAGAAGCGGTTCTGAATGTGCACAGAAGAGACCCTTTTTATTAACAGAACTTCAAAGGAACATTACTAACATACTAACAGAGAATTCATGTAACAAGACTAAGAAAAGAAGTTTGGCAACACACAGAAGAAGCCCAAGAAGATTAATTGGACATTACTAACAGTTTAATTTACCAGTTTATATATCACTCAGCTTTCTCTTTCTCCCACTGTCTACCCCTTCCTTTTTTTCTTTTAAGCGAAATACCTCCCCTTTTTAGGGGAGCCAATAAAACCTTTATTAAAAAAAAAACACAGGATGTTTTCTAGAGATGTGCAAGCAGAAACATAAACAGACTTAGAGTTCCATTTGCACAAGATCTTGTGCAATACCCAGCATTTTACTCCCTATATGCTAAAGTGTCCAGAAATTGGTTGCATAAATCTTGTGTGAGTGGAAACTCAAATGAGGATACAATAAGTTTGACTTAGCACAAACACCACAATCTTTCTTGGATTTTTGTTTGTGCAAGAGCGCTAGACCAATGGAAATTTTGCACTAGATCCAACGCAATGTCAGCATAACACAATATTCTTTGAGGTAATGTTGATCTGGCTGTTGGTATGCCGCATGCTCAGTGCACTGGTACAGCAGGTCTCAGATCAGGCTATTTATGTTGATTTTCCTACCTTCTGCTTTTTAAGGATGCACTTCACTTTTAAGTATGTCCTTCTCTTAATTCTTGTAGCTACATAAGTATCCTTATTTATGTAATGTATTTGGATTAATATTTAAAAGATGAGCTAGTGAAATGCCCATCATGATGACAGATGAGAGTTGATGGGGGGAAAAAGAGGATTTTGCAAAGACCATTTGGGAAGTACTGGGAAGTACTGGGTGGTTACTTGGAATGATGGAATCTTAGGTTTTGAAGAATATGACTTCAGTGGAGAGGTTCAGTTTACTTGTGTCACATGTAAACACTGTAAATAAAAGATTAGATTTAAACATACTGGTTTATTTAGGTTTATCCAGGACAGCGTTGCTAGAGTGTGTCCTATTTGCATTATTTTCATTTTACTTTCACATTAGGTTTCAAGCAGTATTGTTTGATCAAACAGTTGCTGTTGTTGCCAACATTTGAAGAGAAACACATGAATTCTTACGTATGAAGTTAATGCTGCAGTTCTGTGGGCACTGGGATTAGCTTTGTAACGTGATTCTTGGAAGATCAGAATGCTGGTAGTTATACTCTATAAAAGAACTAGTTTTTCATGTTGGTAACACTGATAAAAGGAATCCTAGTGAATTTGAAGCTCTCAAAACTTTAAATGTTACACATATTAATACATGCATGTAATATTTTGACAGAAAACTAGTTGTGTCATATATGATAGACCTCGATACATAATGCATACTTTTTTTTCAGCCAAAGTTTCTATGTGCAGATTTTAATCTGGCCATCTCTTTGTGGCCTTATTTACATGTTGCAGTTGTATTAAAAGCATGATTACCTCAAAGGAAATCTCATTATGTTCTATGAAGCATTCATATATTTCCCTGAACACTTGTTATAGGCCAGGATAATACTCTCTGGGATACAGTGCTAAAAATGTTAGGGATACTCCTCTGCCACTGTTGAACAACTCAGGTCTGCAATTGGACTTCGAAACTGCCAAAAAGGAAGGCTATCTGTGTACTACTGAATTCACATAGTGTTTCAGGATAGACTGAGTTGGACTCAAAGAAAGGAACTATAGGTTTTGCCGAACTTCTAGCCGAATTGTCTGTTTCCTTCCAGGACTGAGCCCTGATTTCTCTGGCTTCCTCTGGATCATTCCATGATTCAAGGAGACTTAAGATATAAGCAGTGCTCCGCTATTTATTGCATATTCCAACACTGTTGTTCATAATACTTCAGTGGAGATGTGCAGTTACTTTTGTCACACATAAGCACTGTAATTAAATTATTAGATACTATATTGTATTTATCAGGTCCCCAAACAAAAATATCAGATGTAATTTGCTAGCATCAGAATAAAGAGTTTTTAATGCATTGCTCATGCATTAAATACACAGTAGATAAAAAGCCATCTCAGGGAAGAATATATTTAAAAAGACTAACTGTAGAATGAAAAGTAGACACAGCTAAGGTAATCCACCTTAATTTCCACGTCTTCAGAAAGATTCTTTACAAATCCTTGGCTGAGATCTTTGAAGTGAAAATATAACTTTGAGATTATTAAGTTCTCTAAAGAAAGTTTGTTGGATTCATGTATCTTATTTAGATTTCATTACTTTACTTATCAACACTATTATTATATGTATGGCAGGCAACCCAAAGTTATGTTGACGAATGTCCTGAAGACGGAAGTAGGAAGAAAATACATAAAGACACAGCTTATAACTGATGCTAATTTATCTCATGCTGTCAAGTTGCAATCAGCTCGGCAAACCTCATCATCTGTTGACAGTATAGAGATATGGCAAATATTAAGTTCACCTCACCAAAGCCTTTTTATATCTAAAAGGTATGTTTGGTTAACTCAATCTCAGACATAATACATCTTTACCTATTTACTATTGAAAAATGCATGTAATTGTTTTCCATGAGCAAGTATTTTTTGTCGTCTTGTGGTCATAAGCCATTTTTCACATACAGCACATCTTTTTGAGAGATCTTAACCGTCTTGTTGAATCACTTAGTTTGAGAGGGAATTTGTCTACTCATATCTCTTGTAAAACTTCATGTTAGTTTCTAGCAAGTTTCAGGAATACTAGAGGGAATATTTCTGCCTATTTGAAATATTAGATGATGAGTTCTTGTCATAAATATCTTTTTAAAAGTATATTTACACCTACAAGAGAGATCTGTTCATAATGTTATCGCTTTTTCCCAGAAAATAAATAGTTATACTATTTCATGTAGGGTTTATTATTCTTGGAACTTTTTTACATCCACAGTCCTTAATTTTGCAGAGAAGACAGAGTTGTGTTGCTACTAGAAACTTACCCATTCCTCTGTGAATTGTTTGGTTTTCCCATAGGACTTTTTATACACTTCTCAACGGAACAGCGTATTTCGTAATGAAAACATCCTTTGAGATAGATAGATATATATATACTGTACAGCAGGAAAATGCAGAACATTAAGAAACTGACTGATAGACTACAAAGAAGGATTAGAGAACAGCTAGAAGATGCTTGTGTTCAAACAGCAAAATATAAATTAGCTCCAGTAACACTGGTTTTTAAACTGTGGCCCATGGCCTACCAATAGTATGTGATGTACCTACTGATGAAAATACAAAGTACCAATTTACAACTACAAATATTGGAGGGCTTTTCTAGAATGAACAATAATGAACTTTGAATTTAAATTCAAATTATGCTACAGTTTATTATAGCCATTCTGAACTCTGTGGGCAAATGTAAGGATGAATGAAGTGGCCCTGAGTAGTATAGTCTCCATTGGAGACAGCCCTTCTGGAACAGTGCAAGTCTCCCCTTTCTAAAGGCAGCCATGATGGTCAGGAAGTTTTGGGAACAAGGTGGGATCTGGCATAGAAGGCTGCTGCTCGGGGGGGGGGTGTCACCTGAAACTGTTCTGTTGCATGAGGGGGAAGGAAATTTCAGCTGATCCACTGTCTTACTGCAGTCCCTTGCACTGCATACCAAACAATTCTTGAAGGGCCCCAAACCTTAAAAAAAACTTTTTTGAGGGGGGCTGCTCTGGAAACGGGGTTGGCATCAAAGGCCTCTTTCATTTACTTGCTCAGTTTGTGGATCCAGCTCATGGAATATATACAGACGTAGCATAGTTTACCTGCTGTTTTACAAAGCATCCCCTTTCCCTTTATTATCTATGGTTTCACTGGAGAGAACACTGAATTGCATTTTAATTTAGAAGCCTTTCAGAAATTTTCCATGTGGCTGTGGCCTGTGAAAATATAGTAGTCTTCAAAGAATGGAAGAGTAAACCCTACACACCTCAAAGTGTAGGAATTGCTGACATAAGAAATCACCGTGGGAAGGCATTGCCTTACTTGTTAAGCACAAGTTCATAGTTCATTGTATCAGTCTTACATACTCAGATAAGAAATATTTTGCTGCTATTTTTTTTTGTTTTTAATCAAATACCATGGCTGCTGCATTTTTTTTTTTTGGTGTTTCTATTCTCAAATAAAAACAGATATATCTGTCAGAGTGGCTTCTGGAAGAGATGACACAATCACTGTTCAAATTTTTTGTTGCTGACTTTTATATATAAAGGCTGTCAACTTTAGGTAGATAAATAGCAAGATGTGCTCTTTTGAGCTTTGTGAAAACTACATTCATAGTTAATTTCCTTAGTTTATGTGCTACATTTTTACTCATGCTGGCAGTTTTTCATGATATTTAATGGCATCATCTAAAATGTTGAAATTCAAGCCCAACAATAAAGTTTTATTTGGTCTTTCCTTATTCTGTGACCCATCTGTACTTTGGGACACTTCACTTGTCTTCCATCTGTTTTCATGAAGTTGGTTTAAGTTATAGTTAGTAAGATTTTGAGATTACCCAAACATTTATGATACATGAATTCAACCAAACATTCTTTGTACAAGTTCCAGAGTATTAATTATTGTATGTATGGCAGGCAACCCAAAGTTACCTTGACGAATATTCTGAGGACGAAAACAGGAAGAAAATACGTGCAAACTCATCTTTTAGCTGATGCTAATCTATCTGATGCTAGCAATTTGCAATCAGATGAAGAGCCCTCCTCATCTGTTGCCAGCCAATCATGTCAAAAAATAAGTTCTCAACAAAGCTGTATTTTATCAAAAAGGTATGTCATCCAGCATAGTATTTTTGTGATTTTGGTCCTTAAACTAATATTGCTAAAATATGATTCGGTTGCAACTAACATTTACAAGGATGTACATTTGAAATTGTGAACATATGATACAGTCCCCCTAAAGTTAAATGCTTTAACAGTGCAACCCTAAGCAGTGTTCTACCAGACTAAAGCCATTAATTTCAATGTACTAGATTGGAGTAACTGCATAGGATTGCACTGTGAGAATTACACACATACTCAACTGTCTAACTGAAATAAATGGGATTCAAAATAACTTAAACTGTAGCTCACCTTTTTTGTATTTTGTGTGTTCACATGCATGTTTGCATGCTTCTTCAGTGCTTCTCTAGTTTCCATAGATGTGCTTTGGGAATGATTTCCATGGAGGAATATTCATGGAGACTGTTGTGGGGAAATTGTCATTATAATATCCTATCATATAATAAAATAAATTGAATGCTTGAAGTTTAGGGATTATTTATGTTGCTGCCATCAGAATTCAGTGGTTCGCACCACTGTGGTCAGTATAAATTAGTAGCCATGTATTGACTCTGTCATTCTAAAGTCTTCTGTATGAATTTATATGTAAGAGGGGGAATTACTTGCCGTTTACTTTATAATATAGGCACCTTAACCAAAACAGAATAGGGGAAGAGTACATATTTTAAAAATATATTATTTTAAGACTGTTATGAAGCCTTTTGCAGGATTACAAAAAGTTTATTTAGTATGTTAATTACTCCTTAGTTGATCAGTTGGTGAGAGCCAAGTAATGAGTGGATCTGAGAGTTAAAGGTACACATTTATCTCTTGAGGTTCTGTTAGTCCCAATGAATTACTGTATGGAAAAAGAAAATATTAAAAGTGGCCTTTCCCTCTAACAGAGAGCTTTTGTTCATTGAACTGTAGTTTTGCTAATAATTCCTTTACTTGTGATGCAATCCTATGTGGAGTCATTCCGGTCTAAGCCCACTGAAATATTTAAAAGCTACCTATAGGGAAATTTTGGCAGGAAGCAAACTTATTTATAATTAATTAATTGATTTACTAGGTAATGGTTTAATCAATTAAATTTCTTCAATTTGTTGCTAGCCATAGTACTATGATGGTGTGTTATGTAAAGTTCACAAGCTGTTCTAGACTATCAGGGAAAGATAGGGTAATAAGGAACATCAATATGGAAGTGGGAATCCTTTTTATTATTAATCTTTTTCAGTTATGGAAGTGCATCTACGAGTCACTTCAATGAGGAAAATGGTGTCAGAAGGACTTGTACCCATGACTGTTTACTGCACAGGGGTTCCAAAAATCCCAGTTACAGTCATAAGTGACCCCTAAATTATTCTGTCTGTAATTTGTCATTTACAAATGAGTAAACGTGGTGGCATAAAAAGTTCTCCTTAATCAGGAGACGTTGTTTCTGAAAGCTACAGGAATGTATATAAAGTAAATGCTGAAGTAGGCTCTTTCCACTTTCCAGGGAGGTGTGCAAATTACACTAACAAGGTGCAACTGAAAGTGCAGATCAGTTTGAAGCAGTTTGAGGCTCATACCTGGGCTTTGTAAAAGTGAGTGGACACCTGGGTCTGTGATTTGTTGTAAAACAGAAGAGCAGGAACAGTCATTTGGCATTACTTTCTCCATTCGTTGTACAAAATAATTGCAGGCGAAAAATAAGACTAGAGGGAAGGAAATCAGAAGAAGAGAAAGTGATATAGTGAAACTTAAACATTAGCCTCGTATTTAAACTCCTGTCCCAGAGTTCCTGCCAACAATGCTGAAATCGTGAACATTGATTGTTGCTTTTCCTACATTACAACTGCATAAGATATTTGATTCCCATTCTGTTTTTAAAAAGTGGGTTATGTTAAAAAGAAAAAGTGGGTTATGTTTATTTTTGAAAGTGCTGATTCGGGATAGATAATGTTTCAGAATGAGTACTTTTGTATATAATTTCAAGAAATGGGGCATTTGTCTTTTTGGATTTACTAATATAATGTCTGAAAGTGGAAAGATATGTGGTGTTAGGGGTTTGGTCTTCTGTTGGCTTGGTCCCAGGAGACTCCCACAAGGGCCTACAAGTACACAGAAGTTATATATCTAATGGGGGGGGGGCAGTCTGCGAATACGTAAATCTGCAGGTTAGGCTCACTTCCATGGAAAGAAGATTTTTCAGCGAACTTGGGGGGAACCCCCTGGTTTGCAGAAAAATCTGAGAACTTCAAACAAAAATGGAGAGGGTGGATTAAATTTGCCAGAAACACTGTAAGGCTGTCCACGCTTGCACACAGAAGACAACTATCCTCTGGCTTCATTGCTCTCCTTGCAGTGAAGGCAGCAGTTGTAGTAGTGGCTGTTGCCATCTCTTGAGCTAGGCAGGTAGAGGCTCTATGCAGAAGGGGAGCCAAAGGGAGGAGGGGGGGGGCTTGAGGCAGTGGCTGCCCTTCTGATAGGCAGGTGGGTGAGCAGGGAAGGAAGAGTGGGAACTGGTTCCTTCCACCTCCGTGCTGAGCTGCAGAAGCAAGAACAGCAGGAGCCAGCAAGTGGGTGGACATGGGCGGGGGTAGGGTTGCCAAGTCGACTTACCTCTCCGGCGGGGGACTTTGTGGCGGCTCCTGGCATGTGCGCGCGCCACATGTACGTCACCTCAAATGGCTGTGCCCCGCCCCCAGCGTGCCCGGCGTCATGACATCACTTCCCTGTGACGTGCATCCGGGGGTGGGGTTTCCCCTGGGGCCCGATTCTGCGGGGGCGGAAATTGGGCCTCCAAAGCGGGGGGAAATCCGCCCCCCGGGGGGATTTGGCAGCCCTAGCAGGGGGAGAAGGAAAGAGAGAAGGGGCGTTTTCACACATGCTATATAATGCATTTTCAATCCACTTTAGCGACTGTTTGCAGGTGGATTTTGCCATTTCACACAGTAAAATCCAGTTGCAAAGTGCATTTGGAAGTGTATTGACAGTGTGTTATTTGTGTGTGAAAGCACCCCTAAGGTAACAGGAGAGTGTGTGAGAGAGACAGAAAGGATGCAAAAAAAATTAATAACTGTGTGTGTGTGTGAGAGAGAGAGAGAGAGAAACCAGAGGGACTGAGAAAGAAAGAAATGTGTGTGTGTATGCCTGTGTGTGAGAGAGAAAGACAGGGACAGAAGGCTGTCCCATCCCTGAGGGAATAACAGCTGCTCACTTGAGCACAGCTGGAGTGGAGTTGAGTTCTGCGTTAGGGAGACAGCAGTGAGAACTCAGGTCTGGCTCATGAAAAGAGCAGACAGAGTGAAGGGTAGCTCTGCTTGATAGTGTGGCAGAGTGGTTGGGCTCTACTTCCGACAGAGAATAGAGTACCCAATTGTTAGGCCTGTCTCTGGCAATGAGCAGACCTTGTGCCATTTAGTCTGCCTCTTGGGAAAGGGCAGGCTGGTGTGGGTGGAATCCTCTGTGTGTATGAGGATCTAACCTAGTGGCTAATCAGTAAAAGCCTGTTTATGCTTGAAAATTGAAACTAAATTAATGTGCCTCAGCCAAGTTTCTCTTTTGTCTATCTGGAGTCCTGTGCTGCTGAATTGTTCATGGAAACTAGTCTGTAAATAAACAAATCTTCTTTGTGGTTAATTTACAATTCCTGCCTCAGTGACCTCCATACTCTACTACTGCACCACAAAACTTACCTCAAAGCAGCGAACCCAAAGTCTGTACACTCGCTACCTTTAGAACACCTGGTAATTGAGGGGAAGGGTTATAGTTTAAAATAAACCTGGTTCCCTCAAAATCATAGGAGGCTGTGTGGGTCCCCTCAGGTGATAGAAACGGCCTGTCACAGTGTGCAGGTGCACGCATGTGAGAGTGGGATGGAGAAAGAGAAATTAAGGACACAGTGTTTGCATGTGTGAGGCCCTAGGGACATGGAAAGAAAGAAATCAACAATGGTGTGTGTGTTTGATACGAGGGCATTTGGGGGATGAGAATTTGTGTTTCAGGAGGCATGGAGGTTCTAGAAGGAGTGGCAGCAGAGGTTAAGGGGACAGATAGCAAGAGAAAGACAGATATTGAGGAAGGGAGAACTAGAGAGAGAAGACTAAGAAGAAGAGAGAAACAGAAAGAGAGGAGGAGAGGCAGAAGTAGAGAGGAAGCAAGAGTGGACAGAATGTGATGGCTGCTTCCACAGTTTTCGTGCAGGTCTCCACTTGTAACTTATAAGAATATATCAAAGGAAGGAATTCTGCAGGTAGTAGTTCTTCCTTCTCTTCTTTCTCTGTCCTTTCCAGCATAGCTTGCAGAGAAAAACTCCACCTCATGCATGATTTTATAAACCTCTCTTATGTTTCTCTTTAGCCATCTTTTTTCTTAACAAACTCTTCAGTTCAGGGGGTTCTCCACTCCCTCAATCACCTTGGGTGCCCTCTTCTGTAGTTTCCAGCTCTGCAGTATCCCTTTTGAGACACGGCAACTAGAACTGCATGTGATATTTGCACTGAAGCTACACCATAGCTCTGTATAAGAAGGGCATTATAATATTGACCATTATAATATTGGCCTGGCCTGCCCTGGATGGCCCAGGCTAGCCAAGCAGGGTCAGCCCTGGTTAGTACTTAGATGGGAGATCACCAAGGAATTCCAGGATTGATACGCAGAGGTAGGCAATAGCAAATCACCTCTGAACATTTCTTGCCTTGAAAAACCCTACAGGGTCACCATAAGTCGGCTGCAACTTGATGGCACTTTCCACCACCACATAATATTGATCACTTAATAATTCCCAGCATGGAGTTTACCTTTTTCATTGCTGTAACACACTGATTTGACATTCTCATCAAGATTTCTGTTGCAGAATTTACTCCTAAATGAGACTAGGCCTTTTTGAGCATCATCTGGAATTGGCTTTAACATCTGTTCTTTGGTGCAATATCACACAAGGCTTTGCACCCGGCTAGTGCTATATTATTTCAAGTAAGCATTGCCCTGCATATGCCCTTGGCATATGAGCATAGTTAACATTCCAGGAGACAAGGGTACCAGGCTCAAATCTAAACATATAGATTATCAAATTTAGAGTCCAGCGGCACCTTTAAGACAGCAAAGCTTTATTCAATGTATGAGGGGAAGGGAAAGCTCATACCTCGAATAAACTTTTGTTGGTCTTAAAGGTGCCACTGGACTCTAAATTTGTTCTACTGCTTCAGACCAACATGGCTGACTACCTGGATCTATATAGATTATCAGTTTATGTGGCTCCTTAGCTCCCTATCCTTGATGAAGAGGCTGTCTAGAGCCTCTTGACCTCACAGATAATAAACTAACTTTGGGCAAAGTTCATACTGCCAACATATGAGGGGCTGGGTCTTGTCAAGCTCCTCACATTCCTAATTGACATCTACATTTGATTCTATAGACTGCAGATCGCTTGTGCTTGCATTGCTCTGGGCTGCATGCCAACAACTCCCGGTGATTCTCTGTGGGTCTTGGTAGGCAGACAGACTATATTCCAATTGCATGTATTCAGGGCACTCTGTCTGAGGTACTGGGTTTTTCTTTGTACTGTATGTTACACATTAAGGTTTTCTGCAAGTTTCTGAAGTTCAATAAATAGTTCTAGTGTGGCACAACTGCTCTTTTCTGTTCCTCGGAAAAGATTTGGTCTCTAGCCAGCCTCCATCCAGCCCATTGAACTCTGGTGAGGCCTGAGGTCCCAAGGAACACTCCTGGGCTCAGGAATTCCTCAACACTTTCCACCAGAATCCCAAAATCTTTCCATCTTAATCTCACTTCAGACCCCATCAGCAAAGTTAGTTTTTTGTAGTTGTTGTTCCATTGTGCATAACCTACACTTACCAATATCGAACTTCATTTGCCACACTGTTTTCCAGTCACCCAAATTAGAACCTTCAGTGGTTTTTACAATTTGTCCTGCTTTTCACCATCCTGAATACTTTTGTAACATCTGCTCTCCCCCAGTTCAAGAGCAGTTATAAATAAGTAGCGCTGGTCCCAGTACCAATCCTTGTGGGATCCCACCACTTACTTCCCTCCACTGTGTGGATAACCAGTGTTTCTTTACAATAGCCCTCCAAGAACAAGGCACACCTGCCTGCAATCATGCATTGCCCATCAAGAATTTGAACCAAGAATATAAGCAACTCCTTAGTCTGGCCTTTTAGAAGAAATCAGTGTTATTCATAGGTTTAGTTCTCACTGAATTGGTAATCCTGTGCCTGTGTTGTACCACTTCAAACTGCAGGTGGCAGGTCATATGATTCAGTGCTGTTTCGTATATATTTAAAAATCCCCACATACAGAGAACTAGCAAGTCAAAAAGAAGACTGGGTTAGAACCATTTGTGTAGAGGAACAGTCTGTATAGCTTCACTTTCACTAACCTTGCTGATATGAGAACTAGACCTTAATCTTGGTGAATATGTAAAAAGTCCTAAGAGGACTCATAAATATGTTTATACTCACTTTATGATCTTTTAAATTGCCAGGGCACTGCAATGCTTATACAGTATAAATGAAAATATCTTTTAATCTTTCTGAGGAAATTAGTTCACTAAATCAATAGCTACTTAATGCACGTGAGGCATGAAATTGTATTTTTAACATCTGTATGTAACAGCCAGTTACTTAGATCACATATATAGTGATCTGAACCCCCCCCCTTGTTCTTGAGTGTCCAAGAGGTGATGTTAGATCTGTGTTTGTGTGAGGAAGTTTGCACTCACTTGCCTCCTCCCCTCCTGCTGTATAGGGTGGAACCTGCCACCACTCAGACTTAATTGCCTGCCTTTGCTGTTAGCACCATCACTGAATCCCCCACAGTAAAGGTGTGTAAGCATGCCTTTAAGTCATAATAAAGTTTTTGAGTGTCCTGGGCTGCAGCAGATTTTTCACACATCAGGGTGAATGCATCCCTGAGAGAATATTGCCAGTTATCAACATAGCTCATCATGGAAGTAGAATCTGTAGCCAGCTCCTGCTCCCAGTGAGCCTTACTTACATCCAATTACTTCCTGGGGTGTTAAGCAAGGCATCCTGCAATTCCCAATCAGAACAATATAATTAGTATATGTGTCTTTCTCTCCACACATGTGCTGACTGAAAGAAGCGGGGAGAGGAGAATGCAACTTAAATATGCAATCTGACTTGATAGTAGGTTTATGAGTTTTCTTGAAATCTGACTGAAGGAGGATTCAATTAGTTTTAAATTTAGTGAACATTGAGGTTTACATATCAAGGAGGAGGTTGGATCATCTGTAAACATTATTAATCATTGTTAAAGGTTTAAGTGAGATTAATGACTTTGGTTTCTCCCCTTCCAGGCATGGAAGATATCATAGAAGGCCAAATGACCATCTTCTGAAACCCTCTAAAGAGACAGAAAGTAGCAATTCAGTACCGACTCTAAGAAGATGTGATGTGGTGCTAGAAGGTTTGCAATTAAGACATTTTATAATGCATTTCACTATTTGGATGTGACATTTAAACTGAATGGATTTGCTAAGGTAGAATTCTTCTTGTCCAGATTGAGATACAGACTGAAAGTTCTGTTCAATAGATTATCCAAATCCTTTTATTTCCACAAACATAATAGGAATCCTTGATGTTATTACTGATCATTTCATCCTTGAATTTAGTCCCACAGACTGCTGTGTAACATATTTTAATTCAAGTTTGTTATGCAGCAATCTTTAGCTTACTTACCTGAATGCAGTATAGTTTATTCCTGTTAAAGTACTAGAAATTTAAAATCACCCAGTTAGTTACCTACACTCAGTAACAGTGGAACAGGATGGATGTGTAAAGAAAAATGGTTCCTTGCTCTGTTCTGTAAAATAAAATCTTTGGTTCAGGCTGTCAAAAGAATCTTCCCAGAGATGGTTAGAGATATCATGGTGACCTTGCCAGAGCTAAATTGTTTTCAGCTGAAGGTAGTACCAACCGCCCTTGAACCTCTAATTAGCACATTCCAAGCAATTGAGCTCTAGACACCTCTGCGGGGGCAGGGACAGACCTATCTGTAGTGTGGTTTCATTGCTCTCCCTCTTTCTCTTGTTCATCCTTGGATGTCATATGCCTAGCAACTCAGAGAGGTACATCACCTTTCGGGTATCTCATTGGTGTAAAGGCCTAAGACCAATCAGAGAACCTTTTCCTATAAATCTAGTTAGCCCTTACATTATGGCTAGCGGAGCTTGTGACTACTTGACACAACATTATGTCAGTGGTTCAGAGCTCCCAGAATGGCATCCCACTTGATTCCTGCCTGTACTGGCTAATGTTGTGAACATCTTGTCTCGCTGGAACTGACTGCCTTTGCTGAACCTGGAACCTTGTTTCTGTATGTTTAGCTATGCTGGAAAAGCTTAGGTTTAATTGTTTTATTTCCTTCACTATGTTTTATACATTTTTGCACCTTAAATAAATAATTCTATTTTTACTCTGTCGTGGTTTTTGCCTTCAATAGCCTCAAAGCCTTAAATCCAGAGCCTTGGCTCTTGACTGCCTACCAGTTAACTGTTTTGTCTTGGAAACTCAGGCTGCAGTCCCACTCTGCAGGGCTGACTTTTCTTGTTCAGTTCCCTGAGAAGCCGGGAGGCTTGGTCTTTCACTCCTGGGCTGTTGGGATAGATTGGAAGATCTGGTGGCAACCTACCAAGACTAGGGTGAGTTTTAGACTCTCTCTGGTACTTTGTAACTTTGTTTTGCAACGCACTCCCCTTGCACCAAAAGTCCTTACCCGGGGTTGAGACTGGAACTTTTGACAGGATGTTTCCCTATTCTTTTAGTATGTGTTTATACATTAAGTTACAGTCTGTATTATAATGACTGTGAGTACAGAACTGGAAGTGCTAATTATTTCAGATATATTTAATGCAGTAAAAATTGCATAAATTATTCTTGCATGTCTTACGTGTAAGTATTTCTTAACATACTACTGATTTGGAAACTAAGTAGATTTTCTAGATGAAGTAAATTAGGGTAATAGGGTGAAGACACTGGTTTTTGGTCCATCTTCATATCATTATGCCTTAAGCAGTGGGTCTAAAGTAGTGTCAAAAGTGTATTTCAATCTACCTTTACTTGACTGTTCTATTTTTAAAATTTTAAATACAGACTGTAGCATACAGAATAAAGAAAGAGATAATCAAGATAGAGGAAGAAAAGATTCAAAGAATGCCTCTGCTGATTGGAGGGAAATATGCTTTCAAAATAATGAATGCAGAAAAAGAAGAAGTGAAGGTTTTTCAAGTCAGTGGAATGTACATTCTCAAAAAAAATCATTATTGTGTAGTGTGAGTAATGTTTATATGTTTTAGTCACAGTAATTAAAAGAATGATAAGTTGTACCAATAACTAATATATTGTTTTGTCTTAGATATAATGTGTGCATAAATATATGCTGGTATATGTACCAAACTAGTATATTTGCCAGTCTCTAGAAATACCAGCCCTGACCTGGATAGTCCAGGCTAGCCCAATTTCATTAGCTCTCAGAAGCTAAGCAGGGTCATCCCTGGCTAGTAGATTGATGGAAAATCTCTAAGGAATACCAGGATCATGATACAGAGGCAAGCAATGACAAACCACCTCTGAACATCTCTTGCCCTGGAAACTCTATGGGTCGCCATAAGTCAGCTGTGACTTGATGGCACTTTCCACCACCCTCCCACCTTTTCCCCACTTTGAAGGCTGCTGACATCAGTACAAATACTCTAAAAGTAGCAGTGATCATTTAAATAACAGCCAGAGCAATTTAAAATTCAAAATTTCTCTGTACCTGCAGGTAGATCCAGAAAATAGACTCAGTCCCAGAAAACTCTTCCTTGAAAGTCTTATGAAATTATGGATGAAGAATATTTATTTTAAGGAGCCATAAACAACCACAGAGGGGAGGGTACATAGAAACTCCTTCTGAGCTGTGACTTGACGACAACAGCAACAACAGAAATATCACGTTGAGACATATTTCAGTGTGGGGCATTTCTGAGTCCAAGTGAAATGTCCCAGATTTTGAAATGTCATGGGGGGGGGGGATCCTGAGCGGACCGAGGCTTTGGTGTGCATGTGATAGTACTGGCAGGCCCATGGCAGGGTAAGGCAATGTCTGATCTTGCAGCATCTTTCCCAATGCAGGTTGTGTTCTCATAAGAACATAAGAGAACCCAATGTTGGATCAGGCCAATAGCCCATCCAGTCCAACACTCTGTCACACAGTGGCCAAAAATACCAGGTGCCATCAGGAGGTCCACCAGTGGGGCCAGGACATTAGAAGCCCTCTCACTGTTGTCCTCCCCCCCAAGCACCAAGAAGATAGTGCATCACTTGCCCCAGACTGAGAGTTCCTATCTATACCCTGTGGCTAATAGCCACTGATGGACCTCTGCTCCATATGTTTATATAATTCCCTCTTGAAACCATCCATGCTTGTAGCCGCCACCACCTCCTGTGGTGGTGAATTCCATGTGTTAATCACTCTTTGGGTGAAGAATACTTCCTTTTATCTGTTCTAACCTGACTGCTCAGCAATTTCATTGAGTGCCCACGAGTTCTTGTATTCTTGTAAACCTCGATCATGTCACCCCTCAGCCGTCGTTTCTCCAAGCTAAAGAGCCCCAGGCGCTTTAACCTTTCTTCATAGGCAAAGTGTTTCAACCCTTTTATCATTCTAGTTGCCCTTTTCTGCACTTTTTCCAATGCTCTAATATCCTTTTTGAGGTGTGGTGACCAGAACTGTACACAGTATTCCAAATGAGGTTGCAGCATTGATTTATACAGGGGCATTATGATACTGGCTGATTTGTTTTCAGTTCCCTTCCTAATAATCCTGAACATAACGTTGGCCTTTTTTATTGCAGTTGTACACTGTCTCGACATTTTCAGTGAGTTATCTACTACTACTCCAAGATCTCTCTCTTAGTCAGTCTCTGCCACTTTGGACCCCATCAACGTGTATATATAGTTAGGATTTTTGGCTCCAATGTGCATCACTTTGCACTTGGCCACATTGAACCCCATTTCCCATGTTGACGCCAACTTGCCCATCCTCGACAGATCCCTTTGGAGTGCCTCACAATCCTCCCTGGTTCTTACCACTCTGAACAACTAAGTTCCATCTGCAAATTTAGCCACTTCGCTGCTTACTCCCAACTCCAAATCATTAATGAACAAGTTAAAAAGCAGTGGACCAAGTACTGATCCCTGTGGTACCCCACTGCTTACCACCCTCCACTGAGAAAATTGCCCATTTATACTCACTCTCTGTTTCCTATTAATTAGCCAGTTTTTGATCCACAAAAGGACTCCACATTGCACTGTCATTTGGATGAGTCCATTTGGGTTAATGAAGGAGTCTTTGATTCGTACTAGGAGTGGTTGCCTCTGGTGTGCCCTGAGGACATCATTGAGGGGTTGCCAGGACCCAGAGACATCATTGTATCTTGCTACATTCCCAGAATTGATTTTTCCACTGTCCTTTGTTGTTCACATTGGTCTTGGAGGGATTAGGTCTTGTTCAGCACTTATTGGTAGCTGTCGGTGTACAAGCTGGCAAACTTTGTGCCATGAGGTCATCCTATTATTTAAGTATTTCTACTGTGCTTTTCTCCAAGTGGGGACTTCTGCAACCTCTTTTTTTTTTTAAACAGCGTTTTGTTTTGTTTTATTTTTATAGAAAGGACAGAGCACAAAACCAATTGAGTCACCTTGCTGCAGATGCCCAAGTGAGAATCACCAGGGTCAAGAACAAAACCCTCAGCAGGCAAACATAAAAAAACCTTTGGAACTGGACCATTGTAAAACCTTCACGACTGCTAATCAGGATACTGTTGTCAGTTGTCCAGCTGAAAGCTGCTCAAATATCTCTCCAAAAAGAAAGCAGCACTCTGTCATCAGTAAGGATGTCCAGATATCACCCCTAGTTAATTCTCCTAAGAAACAAGAAGTGAATACAGCTCAGCCTTTGGAGGAGCCTGGGAATATATTGGAAAATAGTAAACAGACCGATGATTCAGCAGAGCCGAGTATGTAACACTGTCCTTCTTTAGAAACTTTGAGATAGGTAGATATAATTCACATCAATGTATGTCCAAATTACTATTTTATGATGCTGTTTCTTTCAGATGATTTATGGGTTGACTTTTACCAGTTATAGATTAGAGCTCAGATCATTATTCAAGCATTTCATCAATTTTATTTGAAAATATTGTTATCTGATTAATCCTGCACTGTTATTTCCTTGCTTTAGTTGTCCTTTCTAGTGACGATGAAGAAGATACTGCTGAAGCAAAGGATACAAAGTCCTGTCTCCAGACTGGGAAAGGCCACAAACCTGAGAATAAAGGAATAGAACAAGAAAATGTGCTGCCTTTGTCAGAAGAGCTATCACAGGGTTTAACTGAAAGCAAGACTGAACAAGTAATAAACCTTTCCCATGTTGCCTGTTGTACTCTCTGTCAGAGGCAACCACTCCTAGTATGTTCACCAGGACATGCAGGAATAATTTATGTAATTTTTGCAGAAACCATATACCACCCCAGTGTTCCTCTGTGATAAGTTCCACAGAATTCATACACCAATTCTAACCCCTTTGGTTGTAAATGAATCCCACAGATTTCAGTGGAACCGACTTCCTAAAGTTGTACTTAGCACTGCAGCCTTACAGAATTTACACTTCTTCTTTTTCTTTTTTCATATATTTTCTTTTCTTTTTGTACATCGTTTTAATGCATTTAGGCTGAAATGTATAGTTCTGTGACTCTTGTCTGTGTAGGCTTTCTTTTATCAGGTGAAGCAACTGTGGTTAGCTTCAGTTCTTTCCAAGGCATTTGGCGGCTTAAAATTGCACATGTCCTCCTGCTTTGCTACCTAAGATTAAGATTTTTTTTTAAAGGTATGGGGACATGTAGCATTTGTATTTTCAGAAGAAAAGCAATGGGGTCTTAGGAGTCTTGAGCCAGCAAGTAAAGACACTCCTGCTCACTCTGAAGCTAACAGTTGCTTTGTCTGATACAAGAAAGTCCTTGAGCAAAAAAGCACTGCAGGACTACATGTAATCCCACTTTAGGAACACTTTCAATTCTGCTTTAGTTGATGATTATATAAATGAGAATGCCGCGGGGCAAAAAAATACCAACATCAGTTTCTGAATTCATTAGTGTGTTTTACTACCTTAAAGGGCTGTTCTACACATTACGGAGGCCAGGGATCCAACCCATGGCTGCCAATTCCATTTTAGAGGGAAATTTATCCATTGAAAAATTGCTATGAGGTCCACACAGCAGCAGCACCACCAGTTGACTTTGTTCCCTGTTTCGAAATAGCCTTGTTTCAGCACTTGAAAATTTGGGTGGGGAGATAGTTTAGTACTACTGCAGCATGGGCCTGATCAGGACTGGGCCCTTGCAGCAGTTTTTAAATGGCTAAATTTTCCTTTAAAATGACATAATGTAGTTTGGCTCTCATTGGCAGTAAATGCCAGTAAAAAGAGCCAGTGTAGTTCAGTGAATACATGAAGCTGCCTTACACTGAATCAGAACACTGGTCCATCAAGGTCAGTACGGTCTGTTCCAAGTGGCGGCTGCTGTTCAGGGTCTCAGGCAGAGGTTTTTCACATCACCTGCTACCTGATTCCTTTTAACTGGAAATGCTAGAGATTCAACCTGTGATCTTTTCCATGCACAGCTCTACCACTGAGCCACATCCTCTCTGCTCTCTGATGGTTAGAGTAGCAGATTACAACCTGAGGGGATGTGGATTCAAATCCCCACTTTGCAGTGAAGCATAATAGTTGTTAAGCTAACAACCATGGGGAGGGAACCATGTATGCCACCCTGAGCAGCCTGGATAGATGGGATAAAAAGTTAATAAATTTGTGTGTGTCCCCCCCCCCCAAAAAAAAAGCAACACCTTCCTGGTTGTTATTGCAAGCCTGGAATATGGGGTGGTGGTGGTCTGTTTTTAATAGTATGTATATAATTATTGTTATAGCTGTTGTTATTTGGTGGGAGGGAGAGATATTTAATCTCTTTTTCTTTATTTCATAGGTTTCCACTGAATCACTTATGCTTAAGGATACTTCTGACTGTAAGACCAGTGAACAGGTGGATCTTTTCTTAGATGTAAAAGCTGCCATGCTTTTTATTGGAAACTTTAAAGGGACAGCAACAGGTTGTGCCAGAGTAAGTTTGCTGTGACTGAGTGAGACTCACATTCAGAGAACCATAAAGCTGCATATATACCTGTTCTGGTGAGGTGGGGTTAGGGACAGTTGCATAAAGGAGATGTGGGGCCTCTCTCTTTCTGGTGCCACCCTCTGGCCATTGTGCCATTTTCAGTCCTTGGGTCTCCCCAGACCTCAGAGTAGAAATGAGGGGAGGGTTGTGTCACCGAAGTCTGCCCTCTCTTTCCTGGAGCATTTCCCTTGGATGGGCAGTACAATGCTCTCTCTCTTCTCCCTGTCCTGGTTGTGGAACTGCCACTCCTTGCCCCACCAAAGCCCCAGCCCTGGCTCTGCCCCTTTGGCTTGAGCCCTTATCTGGGCCAGGAGTTGGAGTACCACTCTCTCCAGTCTGCTGCCCCAATCTTGCTGCCCCTGCCTCTTTCTCTCGCTGGCCTGTTCCCTGGAGGCCTTCAGCCAGGACCTCCCTGCATGGCTTCTCCCAGGTTCTTGCATGGCTGGACCCCTCCCATGCTCTACCCAGGTCATCAGGGTTGGGCTTCTGCTGGCTTGCCAATTGGCCTGATGTCCTCTGAGGCTCACTCTTCCTTAACATCATCTTTGATATCCGGCACCAGGGGATGACATTGTCAGGCAGTGCCCAAAGTTCTGGAGTCCAGGAGGGAGGTGGCAAGTCCCAGGTCTGGTTGCTGCAGGTATCTGCTGCCCAGGATCCTGCCCTGGGAATTTTGGCCAAGTTGATAGTGGCTGCCTGAGGTATGAGTGAGTGGATGGATCCCACTAAGCTCCTGCTGCATCAGGGAAGTCCCTGTCTTGGGGGCAGGTGCCTTTGGCTGAGGATGGGCCAGATGCTGGCCCTGGACAAGAAGTAAGTTAAATTGTTCACTAGAGTAAAAATGGAAGACCCTTGCTTGAATGGCTGTTTTGATCCTGGTTATAGTTTCTATATGCACAACTGTCCGTGCCTGTGTCCTGCTGAAATCAATATGCAGCATTGCTGTCTGGGATTATATAATATTTTTAATGTGTTTTTATGCCATCTCCCAACAGAAGGATGTCAAGGCAGCTTACAATAAAACACAGTAATTATAAATGCAGAGGAAAAGGTGAACATCAATATAATAAATAAAATCAGGACCTTCATTAAAATACAGTTCCCCTTCCCACAAGCCCCATCCCAGTAAAACGGCTGACCACCACTGCTATATAACTGTCAGTAGGCTTGCATGGGGAAAAGGCTGAACAAGATTTACCCTCCTGCAATAACTCTGGAAAACTAAAATGTCTTCATTTGATGCCTAAATTTCAAAAGTCTATACCAAAATATCTATATATCTAATAGCAAACTTGCCCCCGAAGTGCGGATCGCTAAATCAGCGCTCCAGGGGCAGCTGGGGGGCTGGGGGAGGTTTGTGTACACGTGGGCCAGTCCCCACGTGTGCACAAAAATTAAAAAAGCTGAAAAAAATCTCGGGGGGATGTTTAAAGCTGCCAGGAGACGCTCTGTAACTACCGCCACCGCTTGGGAGGGAAGCGGCGAGCGGCAAGCAGGGAGGGGGGGCTTGCTGATCGGCCCTCGGTTCAGAGCCGGAGGGGGGGTGGGGAGAG